CCACCAAACCTGGAGGATCAGAAATCCACTTGCTGTTGGCAGTGCTCGTATACAGTCCCCACCCAGTTCTTAGAACCTGTCTAAGTCGGCAGGGATAATATTGCCCAGGAATCAGTCTCTTCCAGTTCTGTGGCTCCATGCCACTTGCTAATGAACTGCTTGTTATGCAGCTGAATCCTGCACATTCAAAAATAACCTAGCTTGAATCAGCCTGAACAAGTGAAACACAGCTGGAGCAACATTAGTATTTCAAACACAAGATAGGAACACAAAGTAATTTTGAGTTATGATTATGTCAATGAACAGTGGTCAGAGTCTATTAATGTCAAAAATTTTGCAGGATCCATGAAAAGTGATTCTAAGGAAATATTCCAAGAAAGATAACACATTGACATTGCCTATTTTTATTATGTGTCTGGCTCTAGGAGAGGTCTATCTTGTTTAGGCATTTGGGGAAAACAGTAAAATATATAATTTAACCTGATCCTTCCATTAATGCAAACATAAAAGATTGTCAAATAAGATCTAGGAAACTCAATTTTTGTGCAACAGAATGACACTTAATCAGTATGAAAATGACCTCTATAATCTACTAACTGTGTCTGGTTTACTTATTAAGTTTCCAAGTCAATAAGAGTAAAAATAATGCTTAGCTTATTAAAAAGGGGAATCAACGTTTTTTTGTGTGTGCTCAGAGCCCACAGAGGTTAATTAGAAAGAAGAAAAAATTAAAACTACCACTCTCTCTCTCTATTTTTTTTTAAGAATATCTTATTTGTTTCCACCAAGAATTTTTAGCAATGCATCCCAGGTTAGTTTCTTTAGAGTGCATCTGTGAATAACAGAATTAAAAACACAAAAAACAACCTAAGGAAAACAGAACAGCCCACAGCTTGGGTGAAATTGAGTTTACTAAATGCACAGTAGATCTGAATTTACAGAAAATAAAAGAAAGCCAAGAAAATTTACAGAAAAGACTGCTATGAGGTTAAATACTTTCTGATCTCAGTTTCATCCCCTACTACTTAAGAAATCATGTTTATTTTTATTGTTAAAACTCCTCTACAGTTGAAAGTTTCACAGGAAGGTTACTTAACCTTTCTGTAGTTGGTCTTTCTAAAGAACAGCGGAAATCAGGCATCTTGGTAAATAAAAAGGGGTGCAACACACAAGCAACAACATCCAAGCAAAAACCAGAAAGGCAGAGAAATCCTTTGGGTGTTGATACTGATGGCCTGTGGCCACACTGCTTTGAGTTATGATCTTACAGTCTCCAAGGACAAGCAAGGTCAGGCTTGGTCAATACCCAAACACGACACCTACAAAGCAAATCCAGGTGCTGCAACTCATGGGGTCACAAATTCAGTAGCAAGAACTTTTCTTCTGTCTTGGGCATTTAATCACTCCTGTGGGCATGGCCACGAAGGTCATTCTAGTCCTGCTTCCTCCTAGAAGTGCTGCTTTCTGAATAGTTACAAAATTGCTGCCCTGACCACTGGAGAACATTAAGAAAATCAAGTCACTTCCAAAAGAGCAGCACTGTTCAAATTTCAATCAGATACTAAATATTTTAGTCTTTGTTGTTTTACTGTATTTATATTTTTCATCAGCACTATATTACTATAGGGCTCTTCTGAAATATTATCTGACTAACTTTTTGATCTTCATTCAATGGTATTTCCTACATCTTAAGTCCTTTGGCATTCCTAGGAAACTGGGAATTTTTATCGTATCTGTCTTCAGGAATTATCTCCTTTCTGAGAATCACCAATGGCAATACTTTGACTACTGAAGTCTTTTGTGACAGGCTTCCAAAAGGCCCAGAACATCTTTATCAGATTTCCTTACACCAAGGCTCAGGTTTCCAAATGCTAAGCAGCCTGCCTTCAGATTGCCTATCACACTAGCCAATTTAGGCATCAGAATTGCTGGGGTTTCAAAGAAAATTCAAAGTAATAATAAGTAATTTGTCCATCTCCAGAAACAGGAAGAGTGGTCTGGTCTGAGCTCAAGGGTCAAGTTCAGTTCATAAACATGATGCTAAGCAAAGTCAGGGAAACTATGAAGTCACTGTTAGATGGTTATGGTTAAATAAAAGGAATCTTAGACTTACTACATTTTTTCTATTATTATGAGGGACCATTACAGAGATTAGATTTCTCTGTGGCTTCCTCACAGTTTGCAACCATATGCTGAGCATAAAAGATGAAGAGGAAGGGACAACACTTCAGAGATGTTATGCACAAATCCTTTCTTCTTTACAACTCTCTTATTTTGTAGAAAAGTCTCTTCTATAAACAGCAGTCATTCCCACACTGCAATTGATTTTTTGCTGCAGAAATATAATTTTTCAAACTTCTGAGCTGTTTTTTTTCTTTATCAAATGATTTTCACCTAATTTTCTTGTAGAATCATTGGTTTATCTGTGACTTTTTCACATCAGAACATCACGGGAATATGTGCCAAATGGCTCCTTATAATCAAGACATACATCCACTGTTCCAGTTCTATATATTAGACCTGTTGCTCTATTAAGAAGGGAGTCAGTTTTTAGAGCATGTGTTCTTGACAATTCCATACTGACTGTCTTCTTCTTGTTTCTTGTTGTTTTCTTCTTTTTTCTTTTCTTTTTCCCCCCAGATGTTGGTGGGTTTTTTTGTTTGTTTGGTTTTTTTTTTCCTAATAGGACTCTCTTTCTCATGACTAATAGAAAATTCTATCATCTATTTACCAGCAGCTATGAAAAAATTATGTTTTTATGGAGGAGATTTTATATTGTCCGGATAGAAAAATAGTAGTGAAGCTACTGCCACAGTATGATTTGCAGACCAACAAACTATTTTATAAATCAAGAAAATATGTATGAGAACAGTGAAGAGATTTTCTATATTATAGAACCCTGTTTTCAAAAAAAGTCACTTGGAGATGCATTTTAGGTCATCGTACTTTGGTAGGAACTCTCAAGAAATAGTATAACATTAAGTTTTATAAAAAGTAGCAAAATATAATCCCTCTATTAGTTGCAAAAATACTAATAATAATTTCCCCTCTAATTTTGTCCATTTAGCCAGCATTTGGACTATTAGATTTTTCACCTCTGTTGACTGTATATAAGATTTTCCAGTGTCTGACATTTGGGGTCATTTTTATCTTTCTAAATTTGACAAAATGGATTTGAAAAAAGGACTCCACAGAAGGGAGCAGTAATAAAAAAGTACTGTGGCAGCTTATTTTAAAAGTGGTGGATGCACTCACCTAAAACCATTTAGTATTTTATAAATGAAATTATACTTAAAAGTTCCTTTAAACTAGTGTCTGCATGCATGGACAATAAAAGGACTAAACATATATATGTGATAAACATTTTGGCTAAGAAATATTTTAATCTATCCATTTTCCTGCTACTTTCTGCTTTCCAGAATCCTTTGTACTGCCTTGATCACACTTAAAAGTCTTGAACTTTCTTTCCTTTTCTCTTTCTTATTTTCTTTTTCTTTTTTCTTTTTTTCTTTTCTCTTTTCTTTTCTTTTCTTTTCTCTTTTCTTCTCATTAAATATTTAAAATATACATAGGTGGAGGTTGATCTCTCTGACAACTTTGGAAATTGCCTTGCACTAGAAGCAGCACATCCACACACCCTTTTGTGACTTAAAACTGACTTTTATCAGTGTTTGGCTACTGTCATTCTGTCATTCAGTCTGGACCTAGTTGACTTAATAAAGCCAGAAAATGTCTACTGTCAGCTCTGGGGAAGTTTGTTGGCAGAAAGTGGAAAGGGGGTTGCTTTCCCTTGCTACCTGGAGAAGGTACCAGCTGCTCTGCACAGACCATACCTGACATATCTTCATCTGTTTCAAAAATTTCAGGTACTGTAGCATTTAAGGTTCACCCAAATCCTGTCTGTAACGTGCATATCTTTGGCTCTAACGACTCAAGTTATTAAGTCTAAATTAAAGCTCTTGCTTGCTGTGCTTTATTTTGATGAAGTTTTGGTGAAGATGTATTTTGATGAAGTTTTCAGAATAAACATCTGGGGAGAAAGCCTTCTACCCTATAACTCAGCAAAAGTGAGTTAGGACTATCATGCAAAGCTACACAGCTGCTTTTCATCTTTTGGTTTGATGAGTAATCTGATTAAATTTGTATTTTTGTTATCAGGAAATTCAGAATCATTAATTCAGAACTATTAATGTTGGAAAAGACTTCCAAGATCATCAAGTCTGAACTTCAGCTGAATAACACGTTGACTACTAAACCAAGTGCCATGTCCCCTCCTTTTTTGAACACTTCCCGGGATGGTGATTCCATCACTTCCATGAGTAGCCTGTTCCTATGCTTGAATACCCTTTCAGTGAGGATACTTTTCCTAATATCCAACCTGAACCTCCCCTGGTGCAACTTGAGGCCAGCCCCCTTTCCTCTTACAAGTTTCCTGGGAGAAAAGGGCATATGTCACCTGACTAAAAATCTTTAGACAACAGGTGCAGTCCAGTCTAACAGCAAGTAGAAGAAATTTGTGGAACCTTCCCTCAGGTGTTATAGCCCCACCCTGAGTACATGGAATACATCAAAGAACCATATCTTAGTAAAAAACTGCAAGCCAAACATTACTATTATTTTTATATGAAAAATCATTATTTGATAGTGTCATGGGCCTTCTTTCATTATTTGACCAGTACTGAAAGCATCCTTCAACTTTTTTTGAAAAATAACTCATTATTATTAATCCTTTGGCTACGCAAAAAGAAAACAAAAATACATTTCTATAAAACTACGTGTTTAGATTTCCAAATGCTTTTTGTCAACTGAATTAAAAAGAGCCATGATAATTTACACCACACTAATAATCTGGCTTCCTTAAAGTCAGATTTGAAAGCCAGGTGCTATGGTCATCTCACCACAGAATTCTGCAGATCTCTAAAGATCTAAAGGATCTAAAGATCTCTATGGCTCAGTCCGACCATTAACCCAGTACTGTCATGTTTGCCACTAAAACACGCCCCCAAGTGTCACATTCACATGCCTTTTGAATACTTCCAGGGGTAGTGATTCCATCACTTTCCTGGGCTTCTTGGGCAACAAATTCCACACCCTAGAGAAGGTCTGCCAACACAGAACCAACCGTGAGAAGTACAGAGAGAGAAATAGGGAGGACGAGAGAGGCAGATGAAGGAAAGAGAGAGAGGAAACGAAGAAGGGAGGAAAGGAATAGAAAGAGACTGCCTTTATTGGTATCCCACAGAAAATGACTGAAATACATATTGTAGTGTTTAAAATATCGAAATAGATTATGCTATACTAAAAAATCTAAAGACCTAATAGAGTAAGTGTTAATGCTTCATGTTTCCCCAGCTTTCCAGCTCTATAGAAAGTTTCAGTTTCCTACTTGGTATTTCCAAAACTGCTGTGAGGTCTCACATTTTTGTGCTTAAGTTTAACACTTTGGTTTTAGCCTGAATTTAGAATAAAATAGCACTACAGATACAAAGTTATGCAATGCATTGTAGAGCAAAAGGTTGAGTGAAAATGATAGTATTTCACAATCAAATAATTGACACAGATAACCCTCATTTTTTTCATGATATAAAAATAACCAAAAAAACCCCAAAACCAAAAACAATGGCCCTTTCATGCCATGATCCTGATAAGGTTCCATCTCTTAGTTTGCACCTGTTTTCTCTTTCTCCTTTATCTTCCCTACCCCTTTTTTTAAAAATCTGGGAACACATATTTTCTACTAAGACATATTGCTGGCAAACGTGTTGATTGCCTAAATCATGAAGAGAAAAGCATGAAGAAGCCAGGAATTTTAGATTTGTTTTTGCACCTGTTGTTTTTGCAGCCAACTTTCCATCTGGGACTGATGCTATTATTTTGTTTCTTGAAGTTAGGTTACATTAACATATTTTTAGAGGCTGGAGGAGGAGGAAGCTGGCTTTATGTAGTCCTGGTTTCTGAAGCTACAAGATCATAATCTGTATTAGGAAGATTCTCATTATGTTAGTCAAGAACAAAACAAGCGTGGCCAGTGTAAATTATGGCCCACAAGATGGATTTCTAAGAAATCAGATGCTAATTTCTCTACGAATATCCTAATCCCTTTAGAGTTGAGTGGACATGCGTATTTTGGATGGTGAAAGCTGACTGAGATAAATCTCATTCAAAATATTTATCTCCACTACACCAAATTCTCAGATATTAGTTATCCTGACATAGCACTGCTGAATTTAACAATTTCCTTTGTCAAAAATATCTGAAAATCTTTCAGAATTTTAGTAGCAAAATTGAGTTTTTTTCTAATATAGTCCTGTTCCCCAGATATTAAACCTCTCTGAATTATTATTGTTACCTGAAAGATCAAAAAATTCCAAATTAGATGAATAAACTAAATATATCCTGCTCTTTGCAAAGACAGACAACCCAGATCCTGGTGCTCTTAATCACCATGAGAAATGTGTCATTATTCTAAGAGTCAAAAAAGTCAGCAGAAATACTTATGGAGAAATACAGAGCTAAGAGGCAGAACAGAAAATCAGATTTTTTTTTTCTTTTTATTTAAAGCAGCAAACTCAAAATGGAGAACCTGTGATGTCTGAACAATGAAAACTTCACAGCAAATCACGGAGAAGTCAGAGCCAGTACCTCCCAGTAGTAATGCTCCAGTACAAAATCGATTTGTCTTATTTGTAAGAGTTCACCCTCTCATGGTGTTTAGGAGCTTGCTATTTTTCCCATCCACCAGGAATGCACAGTGAGTTACAGGTAAGCTGCTTTGGGTCACCTCTTCTGCAGTGCCAGCTACCCTCTGTGCTGTTTTATAATGAGCAGAACCTGACTGGAATACAAAAACGGTATTTTCCATGCTCTCCATGCAGTCTGGAAAACAACAACATGGTCCCCAAGCAGATTGGCAGACAAATGGCACCAGAACCCTCTCTTGGCAATGTGTGTCTCTGTTAGGGCCCGAAACTCTTTGAGCAATTTCAGCTGTCAGATTGCAGCAGATGAGCCAACCATTATCCTGCTCAGCCCCACAGGCCTGATTAGCACCTGCACTGTCACTCTTCTATCTGCAAAGAGGTAACAAACCTGTTCAACAGCTGCAGAGCTGGAAGTAGATCCTGTGGTGTGTCTCAGCACCCTGTGTTCTTAGAGAGCAGCACTTAGCACAGCACAAATCTAATGAACTGTTTAATGCTCCTGTCTTTGGAAGGGACTTTCTGGTGTCTACAAGAATTTCCAAGGTGCTTCTTCCCCACAGGATTCAGTGACATGAGAGAGGTTCTTCACTTAGTTCTGAATGGGTTTGAAATGGAGTCATGTGATGTATACCTGACTTATGAGCAGTACGAGGTTAAAGCAGGCAAGACTAATTAACACATGCCACACTATGATGATATGGCATATAACTTCTGAAAAACAGACTAATGTCTCATCATGGTAATAAAATGAACTCTGCAGACATAGGAACCAAATTTCTAACAGTAAGACATATTTGTAAGAAGTTAAGGAGTTTCATGGTTGCAGGTACACTGAAAATAAGAAACCCCACAGGAGAACTGTCATTGTGGCATCTTTTTTTGGGTATTGCTCATATCTCTTCACTGGCTGAAGACAGAATTCAATGTATCATCCTAAATTAGCTGCTTCAGAAAAATAATGAAATCTTGGCATGAATTTTACTATAGTTCAAATAAATTGTGACACTGTGCATAACCATCACAACTATACTATAGTAGCTGGGTTGTATTGACTGGTTTGATATTTTTCTTAATGAAACGGTCCACATATTTGTTACGAAACTCTACTCATGAAAATGATTTACTGACACATTGATAAAAGAATTTACAGAATGTATTAAAGATTCTTTATCTTTACAAAATATTGGTAAAGGACCAAATAATCCACAAAAAAAAGTATTCTAGGAGAATATGGATTTTTCCTTTGTTTCATGGGAAAAAAAGGCAAAATAAATTGGGGGTTTTGTTTGTTTGTTGTCTGTTTTTGTAGGTTTCTTGTTTGGTTGGTTGGGTTTTCTTGGTTCCAATTTCCTAACAATGATTCTTTTTTGATTTCTTTTGCAGTAATTTTAACATTGCTGTTTTTTGCTAATTTCTGAAATAGCTAACTCATTCTACTTACATTCAGAGAGAACTGTTCTTCATGTTACTCTGAAAAACAGAAATAGCCTAGAAAGTGAATTTCATTTGCTCATATATTGCAACACTCTGTAATTAATATGGGATTTCCCATATTTCGGCTCAAACTAAGGAACACATAAATGGCTGATCAGAAACTTTGGATTCCATAAATGTTGAATTTAGAAAGAAATGATTGTGTGACTTTCAGGTGAATAACTGCTTCACAGTATCTGCTTTCACAAAGAGCTAGCCACTCACAGTGGAAATGTTTTTAAGAGAGGCAATATTCTTTGCTCTCATCTATGATTTTCTATACTGCAAAGGCATGAGTCTCATTGTCTCTGTAAACTTATAAACTGATGTGACTCTTTTACTCTCAAAGCTTCCCTAATCTACTCAGTGCTACATCAAATCAATCCATGTTTATTTTTATAGCATATTGGAAAACTGTGCAAAGGTATTTGTGGTGTAATTCTGACACTATACAGAACAGTTTCAGAAATAAAATGTAAGGTTGTAGTGCACTAAAAAAGTCTCACAAATGGTCTTTCTCATAGTTGTAAACTTAAATTGGCAAAGAATAGTAATAGAAGTTTGCATATAGCAAATGACATTTTTCCTATTACTTAGTAAATTGCACAGGGTGTCTGAAGCCAGCCGTAAGCAAAACACATTTTAATTGTCAATTTAAGTGGGATCACTGTGATATGGTTTCTAAAACTCAGTGTAGACCCTTCTAATAGGATTCATAACTGCACAGACACACTTTCTTATTCGAGATGAAATTGCCTGTAAACTGTTCTACTCCAAATAAAAGGTTTTTATTTAAGTGATTTGGTTACTTGAACAATGGTGGAACTATTGGGAAGTCTAGAAAAGTTGTCTGGTAAGGTGTATGAGGATTTTCTTTACAAGCAGTCTCTACAGCAGTCACATGCACTGTTTCGAACTGTGATTTTGCTCTTCACCATCTCGCGGTGATATACAGAAACTGCAGTCTTTGCCATATCTAGCAGATTTTTTGTAAAGTTTATTGTAGATCTGCTGATATTGAAGGGATTCTTCTACGAAACATTCAGGCTTTAAATCCAATCCTTTGTAATTAGCACAAAATTCAGTACACCACAATTTGAGTGTAGAATATAGATTTTTGAGCAATTATGTACATTTTGAGTATAAAATCACAGAATTATATATTGCATTAGTTTGGAAAAGACCTCTAAGATAATCGTTGACCCATTAATCCAGCACCACCAAGGTTACCACTAAGCCATGTCCCTGAGTGCCACACCTATATGTCTTGTACCATACCTTTAGGGGCAGTTATTCAACCGCTTCCCTGGGCATCCTGTTTCAGCAATTGAGAAATCTTTCCATGAAGAATTTTTTCCCTAGTATCTCATCTAAACCTCCTCTGGTGAAATTTGAGGCCATTTCCTCTTATCCTGTTAGTTGGGAAAAAAGACCAGCCCTCTCCTGGCTACAACCTCCTTTCAGGCAGTTGCAAAGAATGGTAAAGTCCCCCCTGAATCTCCTTTTCTCTGGGCTAAACATCCCCAGCTCCCTCAGCTGCTCCTCATGAGGGTTGTGCTCCAGACCCTTCATTGCCCATCTCTGGATACACTCCAGCACCTCCATGTCTTTCTTGTCATGAAGGAACCCAGAACTGAACACAGGATTGGAGCTGTGGCCTCAGCAGTGCCCAGCACAGGGGGACAATCCCTGCTCTGGTCCTGCTGGCCACACCACTGCTGATACAGGCCAGGATGTCATTGGCCTTCTTGGCCACCTGGGCACACACTGGTTCAAGGTCAGATGCTGTCAACCAGCACCCCCAGGTCCTTTTCCACTGGGCAGCTTTCCAGCCATTCTTTCCCAAGCCTGTAGCACTGCAGGGGGATGTTGTGATCCAAGGGCAGGACCCAGAACTCAGGGTTGTTGAAATTCATGCCACCACACTCAGCCTATTGATCCAGCCTGTTTAGATCCCTTTGCAGAGCCTTCCTGCCCTCCAGCAAATCAACATCACCACCTCAGCTGGTATCATCTGCAAGTCTGCAGAGGGTGCCCTTTATCCTGCCACCCAAAGTATCAATAAAGATATTAAATAAGACTGACCCCAGTACTAAGCACAAAACAACAGCACTTGTGATCAGGCACCAACTGGATTTAACTCCATTTGCCAACACTCTCTGAGCCACCCAGCCAGACTTTTTCCCAGGAAACTGTACACCCAACTAAGCCATGAGGAGCCTGTTTCTCCAGGAGAATGATGTGAGAAAGGTTTTGACACTGAAGGTCGATGTAGGTGCATTTGCATATGTTTTTAACATAGGTGTTTAACAGTGGAAGTAATAGAATAGAGAATTTTCAAATGTCACTTTCAATTCTTTACGTTAGCTCAGTGATTCTGGTTCAACACAATGTTGCAATGAGAATTTCATTGTTGTTCTCCAAGTGGAATAACTCTGAAGTTCCTGAACACCAGGGACATCAAGGTAAAGCTCGTTGACACTATCTGATCTCAACAAGAGTTTCAACATCTGAAAGCCACTTATTGGCTAGTGATAGAAAAAACAAGCAAATAATGATGCACAAACTTTTTGAAAAGCCAAGAGAATCGATAACATGACACTTCTCTGTAATAAAATTATTTGAATATGAACAACATTTTGAAACCCAGACAATAATAATAGCAATAGTAAATACAAATAGTCAAAGCAATGAACTACAGTGAAACATGTCATGCGGTGCTTCTAAAAAATACAGCTTTTTATTCAGTACACAACAGATCTACTGCACTAAATTAAGGCAATCTCTTTCTCAGAAGGGCTTCTTGTGGTCTACTCCCACCACATAGCTTTGTACAAACTTGTTAACAGTTTTTAATTTGCCTCCTTGATCTCTAGCTCAAGATCTAGATTCTACATCTCAGTATGTGAAACACTAAGAGAAGATCTTACATATAGACAAAGAAACAGAAACAAAGTTCTTCCAATTGGTTTTAGGGAACAATAATATAACTTAAAATCAAGTTCTTTTAGAGTCAAGTTATTTACAGTAATATGGTATAAACTGACTAACATGCACAGAGCTCTCCCAGCATGGACCATTATATACAGTTCATATACATCATATGTATATGAACTTTATATAATATCACATACAGTTCACTTATAGAGTGCTGGAAGAAAAAGAAAAACACAGTTCTCCAAGGGCTTTCAAAAATTGCATAAATATTTCAAACTGGGATTTTGTGGGGTTTTTTTGTTTTGTTTTGTTTTTGTTTTTTTGGTGTGTGTCTGTGTGTGTGGGTGTGTTTGTGTTTTTTTTAATCCTGAACTGACTGGAATGATTTTATTATTTTTAAATACCAAACATGGAGTCTGATCATTTTATGAGATCACAAAAGCCCTGAGAAAGAGGAAGAGAAAAGAATAAGAACTTTCTTAATAACTCCATATATTTGTTGGTCAATTTTTAGAAATAAAGCCAGATTGCCAGTCTTGGAGAAATTGGTTGTCAAAGACAACTAGGACAACTAGGTAAAGGCTCACATGTACATTCAGTAGAGATTTGAATGAGTCTTTGCAGCAGATTTAGTTGTTAGAGAATGCCAACACTCTCCACCTGACCCAAGTGTAACAAACTCCACACATCTTTCTCAGGACTGGGATCTACCATGAGGAATTTCCTAGTTTCAGGCAAGGTGGCAATGTAGATGGAGACCATATCGTGCTCTGTTACTTCAGCCATAATTCCTGACCAGCTTCTTACTATACTTGGAATTGAAACTCACAGAGATCATTTCATGAAGCAGGAAATACTGGATTTCCTACAATTACCACTATCAGCCATAATAACTTCAGGAAATACAGTATCTAGTGACTGTGTCATTTAAAGGACTGAGTTTATAGCATTAAAAATACACGGCAATAAAATTGCTTTTGAGGTTGATTAAACACCTCGGCAGAAGAGATGCTCATTCTCTTGAGAATTGGTACAAAGAGAGAAAGACTAGATGAAAGGAAACAAAGGATTTAATCAACGTTATTTCAGGATAGGAGCTAATTTCCTACAGGGACATATCCCTTTCATATTATCTGTACATTCCCTCTGTGCAGAAACTTTTCATATCATTCACATAATCTTTTTCATCTGTGAACAGTCACTGTCATAAAGAACCAGAGAGAAAGAGAAATCTCTGTTTTGAAGGTTTTCTTTTTCTTTTTCTTTGTCTTTTTCTTTCTTTCTTTTGAAGGTTTTTTTCTTTTTCTTTGTCTTTTTCTTTCTTTCTTTCTTTCTTTCTTTCTTTCTTTCTTTCTTTCTTTCTTTCTTTCTTTCTTTCTTTTCTTTTTCTTTCTTTCCTTCTTTCTTTCTTTCTTTTGCTTTCTTTTTTTCCGTTTTTTCTTTTTCTTTCAATTCATGTGCATACACTTTGATTTTAGTAGTTCTGAAGAAATTTATAATGAAATTTTTGCATTTTGAAGAATGTTAAAATAATTTTAAAGATGTTTGTTCTAAGGAGATAAAAGAACCCCAAGAAAATCTTCCAAAATGTAACATTTTGAGAAAAAAGTTACTTCTAAGCTCAGAAAGGTCATATCTTTTAGAATGGCTGGGATTGAGTAGAGAGGTTAAATGGGAAGACACTTGTGGTTTTGCCTTTGCTTAATGCTGACAGATGTTTTGAACAGATGAGGAGGGGAAAAGAAGACGCAAAATTTAATTCTTCAGCCAAAGAAATGTAGAATTTAGAAACACTGAGTGGCATTCAGTTTTCTTACAATCCCTGAGCTGTTATCACTGGATGTAATCCTGCTGTAATCAAACGTGTAGAGTGATGTAATCTCTGGCTTGTGGTTTCCCAGGAAGCTGTGCCCCAAAATGGCTGAAAGTACATTTGTCCCTGCCATTTTGTAACTAGGTTTGTAATTACACTTGCAAAAATGAACTTTGGTACTGACTGGGTATTGACTTTGAATACAGCACACAAACTGCAGAGTGTGCAGCACATCACACACAGAAGCGAAGCATAGAGTATCTCACACATGCTCCACTGGCTCTCAATTAAAAAGATTCAAACCCAATTCAGTGTGGCTGTTTTAATCTCCAAGGCTGAGGTACCAAGAATTCACTCCTTCTATTGTGAGCCATCTAGAGAGATGGAAGACAGGGCACAACTCTGAATCAGAAATGGCTTAGTGGTGGAATACAGAGTGTGCAACTCCTTATCACAGGAAAACAGAGTCAGCCTCATCCTGGCAATCTTTGGAGCAGAACACTCCTCCTTCTCCACTTGAACAAATTATGCCACAATAATGAAGACTAGCTGCATTACAAGGGAAGGAGCATAATGGAGAGTGAGAGGAAAAGCAACTGGAAAAGAATGACTGAATTCAATAAAAACACAATACGGTTCCTTTCTGACAGAATCCGTGCAGTTCTTCATTTTGTTTTGGTGGTTTAGCAATGTGGTAGAAGGCGATCTTAAAGGAACTAAGGTTATCTGAACACCATAATTAATAGCCAGGGAAAAAAAATATCTCAGATGAGCATAGATTTTTTCTTTCTTATTCTTCAAATGTAAAAAAAGTTCAGTGCTTCACAGATTCTACCAAATTTCTGCACTGGAGATTACAAAATTTCCTATACCTATTATCTAGAGAAATTCCACAGGATAAATTTATGATTGCCCAAATAAATAAATTATCTTTCTGTGAATCTTAAGATATTACTGAAACAAAGCAGCAAACAGTAGTAATGTATTGAATATAATCATACTTCTAAATTATATCTTGAATTATTAATGAACTATTGACCCACACAGAGTATCTTTAATAACCCATTCCTAGCATCTACTGTTACAACTTTATACATCCAACCAATGCATTAACAGAAGTGTAGATGAACTATAAATTCAATTTTTTTACCAATCTATCTTTCCTTAAAATCCATCAGATCATTTTACCATGTACAAGGTTAAACCTAAAAGTTATTCAACATCAGTTTTACCAGATTACAGCATATAGCAGAGTTTATTAGGCCATGCTCATCTTCGGAAAAATTGATTTTGAACAATTTATCTAAATTAAGAAAAATAATCAGTTTTAGTTTTCACCAAAAGAGCAATAAGATTAGTGATATGAACATAACACTAAGCAACTGTGATGATTATATTCCTTTAGTATAAAAAATACTAAAATGAATAAGAAAGTTAAATCTTTTTTGCTGTGTTTTGTTTTGCTATGTTACCAAGGAACTAAATTTTGTTTAATTTTATTGGCATATAAAAAAACATATTCAAAATAGCTGCTTCACTAACATGTCCTGATCAGATCCTGATCCAAGCTTGCAGGGTTGCCAATTGGGAAAAACAAAAGAAAATCAACTATCCCCTAAGGAAAAAACAAAACAAAACAAAACAAAACAAAACAAACAAACCTTGTGACATTCAGGTGTCAAAACCTGCTTTTTGCTTAATAAATTAACAAGATGACTCTGGAGTGAGTGAAGAATAATAAATATGATCTCACTTTAAAGTACTGTGAAAATACCTTGCAGACACCAAAGTACTCCAATTAATATACAGCTCTGAAGATATTTCTGAAGAATGTGCTTTCATATCTCTGCAAATCTCTATACAGTTCTGCACACACACACATACAGACTTACATATATATGTGTAGAGCTTACTTACTATGTTTACCTGTTGTTGAAAACTTTTATTGATTTATATACATGATGTTATGCTAGTTCAATATGCTAACACACTGGGAGAATCAATATTCTGCATTCTAATTTGGATAGCAGTAGTGTATCTGTGTGAGTGGCCTTTTGACCACTCCACACGAGCCTGATAGTTTTATTACGCATATTTACTGATGGGCTTGAAGTGAAATGAATAAAATTCAGAAAAATTAAGTCAGAAGTTGCTGGGCTTTTGAGGTCCAGTACAGTAATGACACAGTGTATAAGAGCATGAGCAAAGATTATGGGGATTGTCTGCCCTTTCAGAAAAGCCACAATTTCTTGTGGCTAATACCAAAATGAAGTGAAACGTCAAGTTTGTATGACAATATCCAACTTTTTGGTCTGCTTGATGAAAAATGGACAAAAAATATATTTCCAAAGACAAAATGGCATACAGAAAGAAATTAGCCTTCCAAGCCTCTGTGAATTCAAGTAGTTTACTGCCTGTGTCTCCAGCACTAAACTACACACTGGTGTTCTAGTCAGTGGGCGAGGCAGACAAAGTGCACAGATGAAATATTCCTATACAAATAGCAAAACCCATTATCATCCCAAAGCTCATCTTCTGTATATGCTGTGTTGTTAGGCACAAGCCTAAATCCTCATTTCTCCTCCAGCTGTAGATTTTCCTCTTGGATCTAT